TTCTTGACCACAAAGGTGTCACTGTCTTCAGCCTAGAAATGTCAACATTGAACCTTAGGCAAGGTATCATTAGAAAGAGATCATTTCATACCTTCGTCACGCAGCAAGAACTGTTGGCCTTTTCATCTCATCGGCCGAGGTGGGTTTCCCCATTCCCCGCATCCGCGGGGAAGCTTCTCCTCACCTCCAACACGAAAATCTCACCAAACCATGGATGTGCCGCCGTGCCGCCCCAGCGTCGCTATCTGGTGGAGTGGGTTTTGGTGGTTTTCGCGAATCAACGGCTCGCTGTAAGAGTGCGACGATCGGCCCTGCTTGATGCAATCATGCAGGTTTAGCCAAACAAGTCACACACGATGACCGAGAACCGGAGTAGCAGGGAGATACGGGAGGTTGGGAGGATTCGCCTAAGACAACGCCCTGTCCCTCGCTTGATCTGGCGTCAGGTGGAATTGGGATCTGCAAAGCCAACCACCGAATCTTACTATGACTACGGATACTCATTGAGAAGTCATCTACGGAATCGTCAAGTGTGAGAGGAAGAAAACGACATTCTCACTTGAACACAAAAAAGCGCATCCTCCGATTCCCGCAGATTCATTGCTTCTTAGCTCGATGAATTGATAAACCGCTGTTTGGGTAGCGCGCTGAAGACCAGATACCATTTGGCTCTCAATGGATGCATGCTCAGGCGAAATTGCTCGAGGTCTCAGCCACAGACCTTTCAAGGCCGAAGAACTCCGGCATTTCCACCATTGCGATATCTCATTCCACGCTTACGTCCGCGTAGAATAGCCGTCGTTCGTGATCTTGAACCCGCTGAACCCCTTCGCCAACTGAATCTAGTTTGGTACTGTCTCATGAGCCGCCTCTTCGCGAACGGGTAAACACGTGGCTTGGGCCGACCCGAAGCCCCGGACAGATTTGATAGGCTGCAAAACGACTGATCTGCTATGTTGTTGCTGATTGAATCCGTTCTCATCGTGTTGCGTTCCTGGGTACCTTCAGCTGTAGCCAAGATGGATCGCGGGGTCTAAGACAACATGCCGTTTCCGGTACTTCAAAGACACTTCTGTAGAAACAGACCCTTCAGATATGAGCCCATTTCACATGCCAACATCTGAAATTCTGTTCCATCTCAGCACTAGAGAACTGCGAGCTGAACATGATCATTGATATAATGTGGTGGGTGGCCCTTTCTTTTCTCCTGCTTGTCGTCTGCTCTTCGTCAACATCAAGTCTACTCCTATAAGAACAAGAAACCAGTTAGAATGTCGACAGAATACGTCAAATGTGCACACAGAACCATCCCGGAGGATGGGAACTTTGCGAACAGGAAAAGGCTGGTGATCTGCTGCGATGGCACATGGAACAATTCGTAAGTGCGGCAATAAAGAGATTCGATTATCCACGTATGCGTATACTGAGATGCCACTCCAAGCAATAATGGCGGCGTACCCACCAACGTGAGCCGTCTCTCATCTGCAGTCGCACACAAGTGCTGCAGCGGAATGCCTCAAGTAGTCTACTACCATCGCGGTCCCGGAACAGAAGAAGACAAATGGGCTAGCTTTGTGGGAGGCCTGTTCGGCCTGGGTGTCAAACAGGTAAGTGACTCCAATAGACTGATGGCGGTGACAAATGGTTGATGTTAATCGGTACCAGGACATTATAGATTGCTACCGCTTCATCTGCGATAACTATAACCCGGGGGACGAGATCATCATCGTCGGCTTCTCGCGAGGCGCCTTCACGGCTCGGTCGATCGCAGGCATGGTCTGCACACTTGGGTTCCTCAACCGCTCTGGACTCAGCAGCCTCGGCCAAATCTACAAGGATTATAAAGCCTTCGGCGACTGGACGGATCCTCGCATGTTTGACCCTAAAAAGCATCTACTGGGGTTCAATCACGACCAGCTGAAGATGAAGATAGAGAAAGACTACATGGCAGAGATTCGGCCGCTCGAAGATAAGTTGCGCCCCGAAAAGGTCGGAGAGTTAACCGAGCAAGAGGTTTGGGATGTGGAGAGGGATCTGGTGAAGCTCCTCGAACGTTACGACCAGGCCACGAGTCACGAATCCTTAGAGAAACAGCTACATGAGGATAAAAGAGAGTTATTTACGAAGATGACTCAGTTCAAAAGGACAGATGGGAGCATGAAGTTCCGCCTCATGGCAGAGGCTTATCGCCAGAAGCTGAGCGACGTAAGTGACGTCTCGCTCTTCTGAAGTCCTTGACTCGACGGCTGATTTCTCAGTACGAACTTTGCTTGACTCGTATGGTAGACGATGGCAATGAAGTAATCTCGCACCGAGCGGTGGAGGGGAAGATTAAAGCAGTCGGTGAGTTCAACCCTACTTTCGATTATCAGTTCAACTCCAATTCGCAGTAGCTAAATTCGCCATTCGAACAGGCGTATGGGAGACAGTAGGCAGCCTTGGAATCCCCAAGACGCCGTGGTGCAATTGGCACGGCGCCAGTCGCAGTGCTGAAGAGGTAAGGTCCACCCTCAGGGGAAGCCCGAGGGCTGTGGTCATCATATATGCGCAAAGGCTAAACGTCTCGTGACTGCCAGGTCCGATTTGCAAGCTACAATGTCCACCCCAATATCGATCATGCGTTCCACGCCCTTGCCCTAGACGAATTCAGAAGCCCTTTCGCTCCCACACTTTGGAGGTGCAAGAGATCGAACACAAACACCCAACTTCGCCAGGTCTGGTTCCCTGGATGCCACAGCAACGTTGGCGGAGGCACTGATTCCCAGCAAATCTCCAAGATTGCCCTTGGATGTATGTTACTCACCCCATGTGCTGGACTCTCCGCTAGGGTGGAGATCCCCTATGCTTCACTTGAAGAACCTAAACTGACGATGTCACTAGGGATGGCGGATCAGCTAAATTCCGTTGGCGTGGAATTCAGCACGTGTGAGATGAAACGCATCTTCAGTACAATCTCTCACGGAGACACCATTCGGCCTTGGGGCCTCGGTGAGATCACCAGCCCAACATCTTTGGTCACGACGGGTCTCGACCGAGTTTGGAACGTGATTTCAGCGCCGTATTATGCGTACCACGGTCAATTCGCAGAGAGTTCGGCGCGAACACCTCATTTCTACCAAGACGACAACGAGAAGAAGCCCCTTACACACACGGAGGAGCTCGTTCACCCCTGCGTCAGGATCCGCTACCTGTACAACGGTCTCGGCCTAGATGATAAAGCTGAGTGGCGCTGCAATGCTCTTACGGGGCACGGCTGGGAACTCAAGCTTGACAGAGGCGTGGCCCCAACTAAGATTCGCCCAGGTCGGGACCCGAAGATCGTGGACAAGTATAACACCGTTGCCGGATCCGTCACCTCTGTCCATCAGCAGTATCCGAAAATTCGAGCTGCTGAAGGCCAGCTGGTCAATACTGAGCAGCCCTCGGAAGATAATCTATGGCAGTTGAAATCTCCGGAAAACACTTACACATGGACTCACCCAGAGGGCAAGGTGCTTAAAGAAGAGCAGATTGGCATGTGGGAACGCATGTTCATCGACATCAACTACGATCATGTCGAATTGAAAAAGATAAGTGATGAACAAAAGATGCAGAAACAGACGCATGGTGATCGCCTTAGAGACATGGCGACGAACAACGTGTACCACGCCCTGGGCATGGTTGACTGGATTGTCAAGACTACTATTGGCGCAGTATTTGTTACGCGGCCGGACAAGCAGTATCCGCTCGGGTACCCGTTAAAGCATGGGTATTACGACTTTGTGTCCTGGCAAAAGGGGCTCAAGCAGGATGATTCGGAGGTTGGCCCCTCAGCCAAGGACTCGGCCAAGGATGCACATGCTGCTAAAGATGGTGATGTCCATGTCCATTACCACTGGCTGAACGATGGTACGCAATAAGAGGGCGCAACTTGACCTTCCAAGTTGATACTTTGTATGGATATTTGGCGACTTACTTTCATTTGTCTTTTGGGACTTTGTTGTTCTTAATGTCAAAAGGTTCTGGCTAGCTTTCACACCATTGTTAATGATTAATAATGTAGAGTACAATACATTTATTGAGTTCGAAAGAGACAAGCAACTAGATTGATACAGCAAACTCGAGTACAAACCCTCTCTTTGGTGTCGCAACTTCCCATGACCTAGGAAGGGAAATACATCTTCCTGCAACATGGGTTACAAGTGATTCAGAAGCCAAAACCACAAATCTAGCAAATGTTTTTTTCCACGTTCATCATACAGCGCGAAGGACCCCAATCCAGGTACCACCCTGCGTTGCGCGATGAAGGGGATGAGCCTCAAGATCTTCTACGTATTCTATGGCAATCTCAGTCAACTCAAAAGGTGATGATTCCTCGAAGGGAGAAAGACAAGCTCTCGGTCTTATGTATTACCGTCCCATGGCTCAAGGAGTTATTGATCTCCACACCCTAATTACAAATGTCGGTACAGTCAAGCAAAGATGTGTAACTGGCCTACTTAATTCTACCTTGGAAATATAAAATTTCGGCCTGTGTTGTCTATGTTGCAGCTTGCCTCGCCCGCTTGATTTGGAAGGTGTCGATTCCAGCCGCAGGCAGCAGTCAAGTGAGCCAATAAACCGTGTCTACCGCCCCAGTTCCTGACCGAAGGATTGTCATGCAGACGTCTAGTTCATCTCGTATAGAGTATTGACCAAACGTTATCATCCTAATGGTAGCATGCTAAATACCTTGCAGGAACGCTATGTAGTTGTTAGCCTATCAAAGGTCCAGATCGTAACATGATCTTCAGGGACCCCGAGATGATGCTGACTGAACATGAAGGAACGGGCCGCAATACGTACAGCTCTCTCAAAGTCCAGTTATTCAAGACTTACATAGTTCTAAAAGCCGGGGCTCCATCACATGGTCTCCTTGGGAAGTAATTTGCATTATGCATAAGAATTCCTTCTTGTCCACTCCCCATTAGCCTGCGAAACCATCGCGTGGAGAGATTCTAGCATCCCAAACAACAACCAAGATGCTCTCCCTCACAAGCACACTTGCGCTCTGCGCCGCTATGATCGGCGTAACTATGGCTGTAACCTCCATTTCGGACACCCAAATGACAACTCTTCTAAATGAAGGCGGTGTTGGACTCGCCATGGCCGCTCAGCCAATGTGGTTCTTCGGACAAGCGATGAACCAACCTCCTTGTATTCCAACGCATGCAGTCGTCAACGGACAGCAAATGCCTGGCGCGGAGCTTTGCGAATGGCCTGACGCCGGTTGTAATTGCCGAAAACCGGGCGTTGGAATCGGGAACCCGGCGCCTGATTTTCCAGTCTATTACAGCTACAGCAAGTGTAATGACAACGAGGTACGGGTGGCGTATAATCTGTTTTATGAGAAGGATGGGTTCACGCCGTCTGGCGTCTTTGGACACAAATAGTACGTTCCACCCTGGCCCATTGTCTTCAATACCAGATATGACTGGCTGATCACTCAATCAACAGTGACTGGGAGAGGGTAATTGTCGTATGGACAAAAGATTCCGCAAGCAACTGGCAGCCGTCGCAGCTCTTGCTCTCCCAACACTCAGGTTACGACCGCAAGAACTGGGGCGACATCCAAAACACCTTCAGCACCGTCGACGCAACGCTCCCCCGCGGTGGTGACAATGGCAGAAAGAACTTTGACCATCCAAAAGTCTACGTCGCTTGGTCGAAACATGCCATCTACCATGACAGGAACACGGGTTGGAACGATGTGCTTTCCCAATTGACGAATAATGCATTTCGGTCTCAAGATTGGTGGCATTATCATGCGAGCAGTACGTGTCTTTCTGTTAGTCTCTGAGGCTGATTGTGTTGCATGCCAAGATGACAGAGACTGACCTTTTACAGGCTCGTACATCCGCGCAGACGGCTCGACTGAGATTGGGAAGCAGATGGCTGGGATGGATTGGGGATCGGCCACGAGTCATCCGGCTAGTGTCCATAATGGGCTGTGTTCTGCGTGAGTTGTCAGGTGGAGACTTTCGGGTGAGCATGGGTTTGGCAGTTCGCTGTAGCCTCATCCTACACGTTATCAAGAACAATTCAGCTCGTGCTACGAGAAGGTCAAGTCTGGACCCATTTTTGGACTGGGCTATACGTCAAGCTAGGCAAATGGGAGGCAATCATAGGCTCGGATACGAGAACTGTCGGCCAGAGAGCTGTCCTCTTTCTCAACATGACAATATCATGGCGTTTGCAGTAGGCAGTTCGTGTTTGGAAAGCAGTTCGGCCACGAGGTTTCCCTCGTGATTTCTGCGCTATCTCTACCTGCGGAATAATCTGCAGCCTTTTGAGACTTGCTCCGCTGCCTTCTTAGACCTGCCGTTCAATCTAGGCCACCCGGCCACCCGTACGAGAGCATGAGAGACCTAGCCACCCGCATTCCGTTTGACTTCGACCAAGCTCAGCTGCAAGTCACGATTGAGCAAGAATACTCCAATCCCATCGCCATGTTCGATGCAACACGGTGGTTTCCAGAGCCACCGCCGGATCTCGGCTCCTGTAAGCAACCTTGCATACAGACATGGCGCTTCCTGTGTTGATCATTAGCTGAAAAATGACAGAACACACCGTTTCATGGAGTGATTTATGAGAGCGTAGACCGGCTGCAGTAGTTAATGAGATTCACATCCCTTTCTCTCGACACACCATTAGCATATTTAGCGCGGCTGCCCTGCTCCTGAATCCTGTCTCTGCTTGGTTCATCGGTGCCATCCCCTACAATCTGCAACTATTTTTCCTCAAGCGATCAACGGACAAAGTTTCAAGAGAATCAACGTAATGATCCCTTCTCCCACTCTATTTCATACCGGCCTTAGGGCGACCGACAAGACGTTTCGCCACGGTCTGCTTTCGTCCCTTTGCTTGTGCCCTCTTTGCTTTCATTGATTTGACCAAGACACTCTCCGCAGAGTCGGCTTTTGCTGCCATTCTGAGCCACTCAGCCTCGTACAGAAGTAGAACGATCTTCACCTTCAGACCCTTCATAGACGGGTCATCAAGCATGATGGAAAGCTCGTCGATCAAATTGAAACCGTCTGCTCGATCGAGCGATGAGGAGACCGTCGCTAGGTCTACGATGATATAAGTATTTGTACCCAAGCTCCTTACTGCTTGCCCCAAGAGCTTCAGCCAATCTTCTGGCTTCATCGTAGTATGGAATTGTGAGTGACGAGACGGAAACTCTTTTTCCGTCTTTAACGAACCGCTCCGCCGCAACGCCTGATACGTGAGATACTTTATCAGGTCCACTGCCATTGACATAGAAGCATGGGTCGATTTGTCTAGGCTAGGCAATGCCCACAGAGTCGGCACCCTAGCTGACTCCAAAGTCTGGATGATGTCAATCCCGAAGTCTACCATCGCAGAACGCACGATAAAGGAGCCTTTGATGATAGCTAAGGAAGAACGATGGCTTAACGACCATTTCGTGAGTCTGGGGGATAACCAAAACTGATTCGTTGAGGTGTTTGCGCCTCGGCCGGAGACTCTGCGGTTTCGGCACATGAGGTGATACTTGTAACACTTTTCCGGATCCTCGAAGGTCGGCGAAAGAGTGGTCAAGACGTGTGATAGATGGAGATCTGAAAGTCGTTGATTTGTGTCTAGCTGGGCGCTTGTTTGGATAGACTGAAAGGCTGCGCACTGGTTGTAAGCACCTAAAATCACTTTGAGAAGCTAAGGACCGCCTACTTTCTACCTTGGTGATGAGGTCATTTAGTGTCAGACCCGAGGCTTCCAAGAGAGACACTATAATGTCAAGTCTCTTTTCATGCCTCTCATTTGAGACTCTCAATCCAGAAACAAGTTGTGTTAGACCGTCAAGTTGTTGTTGATGGGACTTTTCAGCATCCTCCAGGGCGGATAGAATACTTTTCAGCTTTCCAGAATGAGCTGTGTGCATAACACGAAGCTCGGCTTGCGAGCCTACTGCCGCCAGTTCAGTAATGTTGTCAGAAGCAACATTGATTCTCTGTAGCAAATCATCGTACTGAAGTTTGTGCGGCCGCGTAACACTGTGGACCAAATGGCGAAGCTTAGACTCTTTACACCATGAGTGGGCAATCAGCAGAAACTCCAAGATGCAAGAATACAGATTTTCAACAGCGACTCGCATATTGGCAGTTGGGTATATTGTGGAAAAGATTTTGACTCGCGAAAGTCGCACGCCAACCTCCCAGGTGGACTTGGCCACGATTTTCAGGGTCTCCGCATGGTTGACCACGCTCTTCCTCTGCCGTATTAGCTCTTTTCTTGTGTGTTTCCCTTTACAATTGGATGACTCACACCAAATATCAGTTTCATAGCGCCCCATGCCAGAGACACATACTCTGGATGATGTTGAACAAAGACGTCGAGGATGGTTCCGTAATGACAGATGATCTCGGACGTTCTTTCAAGCCACCTCCTCATTGTGCTCGATGCCTTCATTGCTTCATATTTTTCGAGTGTTGCGGTCACCAAGCCTTGAAGTTCTTCCATGGAATGGCTCCCAGTAACTAAAGGTTTCTCCTCAAGTGTCAAGATACCACTCTGCTGGAAGTATTCCTGGACAGCCCTAAAAGCTTCTTTCGCAATACATCCGTCATCTGTCCCAATCGTGTTAAGACAACTCAAAGTCTTCGCTGGCCATTGCAAACTTACCTTGCTTCCCGCTCTTGTACCATGATGATATAGCTGTATTCGTGTCCATCTGCACCACACAGACTTTGCACTATGAACTCACACTGTTCAGCTTTTCGTACGCATCAGGTTCGGCCGTTGTGAGAAGAAGGATGACGCGCGACGTTGCGATTACGCACCGTTTACGACTACAGTCGATTACGCAGACTTTCAGCTCTCTGGGGGATGACGTTGTCGCGTGGAGGTCTACTCAGCCTGTCATTTGGCATTTGGGAAGTGCTTGCCGCCGGGTTTGAAGCCTGATCAGATCAGGCTGTGCTTTTGTTTCAGGCAGAAATTACGAACATGGCCAATTAGATGATGATGCTCAAATCATTACATCGGCCTATCACGGTATCGGGCTCCAGTCAATCACATTCATTCATGGCGAGCTGCATGCTGTGTGACGCTGACTGCGACTCAGCAGGATCAACCCCCTCTTTCATGCCATTTCAAATTCTCTCCCAAAAATTCCCTCATATTTCCACTTCATGTTCTTACCCAAGGAGGCCAACAACACCTTCTACGATCAGCATCAGGAACCGTTGCAGCTACGCGTGCGTCTATCACGCATCACATTGTACCTTACGATGCCTCGGGTGCGCTGACACCATCTCCACTCAGTTCAGTGCATAAACATAGCACTTCAAGGCGTTACTGTTTAGCATGAAACGGATTCATTCAAAGTAGGCCCATGTACTCGCCCTTCATCTAACATGGCAACGGAAAACGTCCATCATCGGATGGTGACGAGCCCACAACCTCGAAAGTCCGGTTTACATCCAAGACTTAACCGGCAGCAATATGCAAAGGACGTCAAAGATCAGCTCACAATGAAAAATGGATCTTCGAAAATGTACAGAACTGATTGGTCTGATGATGATGATGATGAATTAGACGCGCTTTCGGCGGACGCGAGGTTGTTCAGAGCCCGAAGCGAGCTAGACGTGCGTCTACGAGGAGTGATGGAAGAAGATGCAATGCGAGGCCAACACGATCCAGCTAATGCTGGGGATGATACTTCAGATGGAGATACGATTCCACTTACCAATGTCTATGACCCGACATCTCGAGAGACAACTCAGACGCATTATACAATATCGGAAGATGAAACAGGTAAAAGGTCACAAAACAAACTAGCCGCATTAGCCCTCAAAACCGGTGATTCTCTACTTATCAACCATTTGGGTACCGCGCAACTCGTTCCAACCGCATCAACGGCGCTATCTGGTTATGAACGCGAGCCCCCGAATTTACGGCAGACGGCATCTCCAGCGCCAGGGCTCAAGTTACCTAGCGGCCAATACCCATCACAACAGAGTTTCCGCAGCCATAGCCCATCGTCCACAGTTCAAAGACAAAGCCAGCCCGAAAGAGCTCGTTGCAACTTTGAAGTAACTCAGAGGGCCCCAAAAATGAAACAGAGTGACGGGTATCGCTACAACCCAGCAGACGTTTCCGAGACTCTAGTCAGTGCCGGTGAAGCTGATTCAGAACCAAGCCTTTCCTCGGGACTTCATGCGCGTGCTACTACCCTAAATAGCTCAGAATGCAATCAGATCGCTATTTCTGAAACGGATGAAGTCCCCAACGGAGCAACCTCAGAACTTCTAACCGCCGAAGAGACATCTTCGATGTATTTCGATATCCTTCAAAAGATGAAGCAGCGAATTCAGATGTTAGAAGCAGCGAATGAGGAGCTTAGCCGAACTCCAACGTCTCAATTGCCTGTCAGAGTGCAGATATTCCATCGCCTTGAAGAGGGAGACAAGGGCAGAAATACATATCTCGCGGAACCAGAATGGATGTTGAATGAAAACGACATTCGTCTCAGTGCCCGATTCCTTTTAATGGACCCTGAAGGATACATTGAAAGAGAGAAAGACATCTCATTTGTTGTCTACAAGTGTTACTCAGAAGAGCATCAGAGATATGCAGTTGAAGAAGCAAGGAAGTCTTCAGGGCCACTACCAAACCCAGAACCGGCCTACCAGGACATACTGCTCACTTCGGAGGAAATGGTGGAAGCTTTGCAGGCCTTTTTCGCGCTACATCCGGAGTCTTGTCAAGAATTTCCTAAAGCCAACACCCATGACAGATTGTCAGCGCCTTTTGTATGGTGGTATCGCCATCGCAGGTCAAGTAAGATTGAAAGCCTGCCGCGCCGCCAAGCCGAATTGATTAATGGGCTCGTAAGTCACATCGAAGAGGCTTACGCAACGTTGTACGACAACGTCGAAGAACAACTCTGCAGGGGCTACGTGTCGAACACCTCTATGGAATATCTTTTCCGGCCTGGGCAAGTCCTAATCTGCTTCGCGGATGGCGTCCCTCAAGGTCACATTGCATCGTCTCGTCCTTATTCACACGGAGATGAACCTAGTGACAACCGCACTCTTCCAACGTCAAAAGATCGACAAGATTCCACAAGAAAGTACTTATCGCAATGGACTATACCATCGCGTTCAATCTCGTATCGTGGAGACTTCGTTCGGGTGGTACACGACCTCAAGATTGAGTTCGAGACGGATACTGAGAACGGAGAGATTGATATCTCAAGCTTGCCTGTCATGCCACTTGAATATACCTCGCAAGCATTGCAGGAGAGGCTAATGCGCCGTGGCCAAACATTTTGGAAATGTCGCGAGAAAAGACTCATTTCCTACCGAGGCACAGGGCAAAATTGCGGCGTAAGTGGGTTCTTCTCAAAGGATAAGCTCTGAAGTTTAACTCTCCATCCTGCAAGCAACCCATTCTTCTTATCTCACTAACATTCTTTAGGGGCAAAGATTTATGATTGACTTCGAGACGTATAAAAGCTTGCATCCATATAATCAGTATACGAATATGGAGAACTTCCCACCAGAGCCAGGCCTACCTACAGATGGCAGTGAACCGCACGTTCCTGAGATCTATCTGTTTTCAAATCTTGTCCCTGGCTTTGATTTGAGACGAAAGAAATGGGGTGAAGTTTCCTGTGGTTTTGCATGTGAAAGAACTTTACTGACCTTTCAAATAGTTGATGTTGAGGTCGACCAGATTCGGGACGTGGCCTGGAACGATCAAGCCTTCAACAGTCTGGTGGCTGATGAAGACATGAAGATGCTCATTCTTGCACTTGTCACCAACCAAATCGATGCCAAGCGAGGTACAGACGTTATCGATAACAAAGGAAACGGCCTCATTATGCTGCTTCATGGCTCTCCGGGCACCGGAAAAACATTTACAGCCGAATCTGTCGCCGAAATAGCTAAAAAGCCTTTGTACTCGGTAACTTGTGGCGATATAGGCACGGATCCTGCTGAGGTTGAGAAGTATCTCGAGTCCGTTTTCCACCTCGGCAAGATCTGGGACTGCGTCGTGCTCCTCGATGAAGCCGAAGTCTTCCTCGAGCAACGTACTCTACAAGACCTCCAACGAAACGCACTTGTCTCCGTGTTTTTGCGCGCTCTAGAGTACTACGATGGGATCTTGATTCTCACGACAAACCGAGTGGGTACCTTCGACGAGGCGTTCAAGTCTCGAATTCAGCTGGCGCTCCGGTACCAAAGGTTGGAGGCCTACCAACGCAAGCAAATCTGGAAGAACTTCTTCGAGCGGCTCAAGAGCATTGGAGAGGAGGACAGCATTGACTTTGACGATGTTTCGCTGCACATAGACGAGCTTACCAAGCACCCCATGAACGGACGACAGATCCGGAATACGATCACCACCGCGCGGCAGCTCGCTAAGTTTATGGGGAAGAAGATGGTATTTTCGCATCTGCAACGAACCATCGCAATCACGAACAAGTTTGACGAGTACTTGGCTGACGTTCGGGAAGCTGATGTGGAGGAACATGGTGGAAGAGGCTTGGATGGCAGGTACTCTGACGAGTCTTTTGCTCGATCTGATCAGATACGATAGTGCGACTAGCTATTCGAGTAACGATGCGGCAACTGATTGATTTCTTCTACCCTATGATCGGAGAGCTTTTTCGTTTTGGCTTTAGTGGATATTTGAATATTACGGACGCAGCCAGTAGCTGAGAACTGTCTCTGAGATCAATGCTATCTTACTCAGTAGTGGAACTATGTTGTACCCTTCACGGGAGTGTAAATTCCATTGTGGTCCACCTCGAGAGAGACGTTACTCCCCCTGGAGTCCTCAACGTCGATGATCTGAAGATTTCCATGCACTCGCTCAGTCGAAACTCCCACGTGGAACCTGGTGTATGTCCCTAACGAACTCCGATCGAACAGGTCTTTGGAACTCGACGGCTTTACCCTCCTGTTCGCGCCCGAGATCTGGCGCACATACTCTGCTGGCCACGACTCGGATTCAAGCCGTACCGTTTCCGCAACTTCCTCAATTGTGGATCCGAGCGGTATACTCACGACTCGGTTCACCATCCACGACGGCGCTTTATCGAAGATAACAGAGCCACCATACCCGGTCGCAGTGGACATGTATTGGTACTGTAAGACAAGAGCGAGTGTTGCTTCGTAACCATAATGATGCAGTGGGATCACAATTGGAGACGCAAGACCATATGATTCGACGAGGCGTTCTGTTATTGGTAAAACGTCGGGCTGCATTCCATCGGTGTGTTGGCCCCATGTCGACGAGTACGGGGTACCGAGAGTAAAACCCTGGGGCAGCGTCCGGATGGCACATCCCCAATTCGGCGCATAACCGCGCTCATCTCCGATATCTCGAAACCTGCGCGAGGCTTTCAAATAGATGAATGCTGAACAAAGTCTCTCATTTACCCAAGCGGTCATTGGGAATTTGAAGAGCTGGTTTGAGACCCTGTAGTACGACATTCCGTCTGGACGATCAAGGTTAGGTAAGGGCCTTTTGGTGCTGTGTAAAGAAAGTGCGATAGTATTGAAAATGTCGGTGCGGCGGCGGCAGAGCAGAGGCGCCAAGAATGCAGTCGAGGAGGGGCCGTTCACCCACTTTGAAGGTGTCTCTGCGAGCAGTGGCGTCATAAAGGTGATGCCTGAATTTTCGATGCGCACTCGAGCACTGGTAGTTATATGGAAGATGGGAATAACGTCGCCGGAGTGCGTAAAATCTTTAGGGCTTGACGCAAGGAGTGACCAGCCGTCTAGAGGGCTCGGAATTCTGACCACATTTCCCTCATGCGGGTTCCCCCACGCGAAGATGGACTGGTCGTCATTGTCGCGAATGATTGCCTCTTGCAGTCTCTGGAAAGCCTTGATACCTTCTCCATAGATGAGGGGCATGTTGACATCGAAGATTCCCAGTAGACAGTATGCAACGTCCTCAGTTCGGGTTGTTGTCCTTTCTGACGCCCAGCTCATCCGCTCGGCTACACTTGCGCTGGCCAAACCCCTCTCTCCCGACAAGTAAATACTTTCAATTCCCGTATTCTTTTCAATGGCGCCTCGGAAGAGGGCCCTTGAACCTACAAGTGTCCAGTCTCGATCATAGAAGTCGAGAGATGACGGAGCAAGGAGCTCCTGGAGCGTCCAGCCGCGGGTGAACCACCGACTCCCCGCCAGAGTCGTCTCACACTCGTCGGTCCCAGGCTCACAGTATACTATATCGGAGAGATATGCGAGGCAGATAGCGGCCTCCTTGTACCACCTGAACATGGAGTTGATAGCCTCAGACAGCTCACTGCTGCTGGCCTTATCGATGCAGCATGTATCGATCCAGATCCAATCATAGCCCCGCTTGTAGGCCACACGACATGCAGACTGGATCTTGATCCATCCGGCTTTGTCAGATGGACCATTTTCGAGATCTCTGAAGAGAACTTCCTCTTCCCCCCACGTATGCGACAATATGGCGTATTCGGGAACGTGGCCCTCGACGAATTCGTGAAGCGTCAACGTTTCTGTCTCAAGGAGACGCATTCTGAATGGCGGACTCAATGGCTGGGTCACAATATCGTAGCATGAGACCGCAGAGGTTCATGGACGACTACTCACGAGAAGAGGTTGAGGGGTAGTCCGTATTAGGCTATCAGCAACTGATGTCCGCTCAAGCGATGATTGGGCCATTCCGTCATTCCGTGGGGTTCATGTAAGCGCTACAGTCCTGCATGATGCCCTTGTACAACCCTGAGGTGCAATTGAGAAGCGGCTGATAGGCACTTCTTTCCATCTTGAATCAAGAGCGATTGAAACTATATCCATGAAGATTGATTACTGAGTTAATGGAGCAGGAGGAAATGCCATGCCACTAGATACTCGAGGAAGCAAGTCAAAGAGGGAACCTTGCAAATCGCCACAAAACTTACAAACGCCCAAGATCTTGGCCATAGTGAGAGCTCACGTTAGGCAGAAGCGGTAAAAAACACCAGTTAGAGACTTCAAAGTGATCCCGGATCCAAGTGCACCGGATTGACGTCAAACACCTCATGTAAAGATACGCTGTTGATGAAGAACGTCGGTTCGGAAGGAGAAGAAATAACTGAACCCTCAAGCTTACGTCAGGTACCACCAGCTCTCAAAGTTCCTTCCCCTCCTCCTACAAGGTCACCAAACGGCCCAAGCTCCTGCCCGCCGGAGCTCCACGAGCTTAAGCCGCCAAAAAACAAAACGGCAAGTCAAGCCCAAGGAAGCCCGGACCCCGTTACGGCCCCTACTTCCTTCCACCCCGCCAGTCGCCCCTTGGTCCAAGCACCCGGCCCGTGCCCCTCTCCCCCCGAATAGGAAACAACGAAGAAGGGTGAATGGAAGGATGGAAAGAATGCCCCGCGACTCATGACTGGACCCCCCGCCTCAGTGACATTCTCACTAATTCCTGGCTAGGTAGGCACTCTGAGCATTTAATTCGAGGCAATCAATCATACTTTGCCAAGACGTGGGAATTGGGAAATGAGAAAATATATGTAGTAGCATCTCTTTTCAGCCCCTGATAACGCACGAGGGACTTATATTCACCACGTCGCCGTCCCGAGGAAACCACTTGTGCGGAAAGTAAATGTTGAGTGAGGGGTCTCGTTGTCCCATTTGTTCGCATCTCGCATCTCGCATTTCACAACACCAACACCAACATCACAGCATCTAACCACCAAAATCACCACCCCGACCGCCCTTTACCTCATTACTCAAGCCCCTACCTCGAAAAAAACAATGGGCAAAGCCAAAAAAGACAAACTCGTCATAAACTCCTACACACTCAACCTCCCCTCCACAACCCAACTCCAGCAACACTCCCTAATCCCAAAAACCTACCTAACCCTCCGCAACATCCTCACCATAACCCCCCTCCAACCCTTCATCACCTCCTCCCCTCTCACAGCCCTCACCTCCCCAGCCTACTCAGATCCAGACTCTGACCTCTACTCCGGCGCCCACACCCTCCAGCTCCTCGCCTACGTAATCGCCCACGTCACCGTCTCCTACGCAATCTACGTCTTCACCTCCCCCGAACACCACGCCGTCCCGCCCAGAATCCAACTCGCAATCTGGAGCTTCTACCAATTCGCCCTCCTCATCGTCGACGCGTCTTTGCTCTATAGCGCCTGGATATCCTTCAGTCTCCAGGGAAACCTCGTGAACCCGGTGCGGGAATGGCGCGGCGTAGACTGGATCCTCGTGAGTTTCACGCTGATGGCGGCGCTCACCAGGGTCGCGTTTCTGTGCAGGGTGGGGTTCCCCAAGCAATTATCGCCCGAGGAGCGACGGAAAGCCTGGGATGAGCGGAACAAGAAGTTCTGGGATGGTGTGAATGACGGGACCTCCGGCATAGTATGCAATGGTTAATGGGCAGTCATTGTCACAACGATACGGGAACGAACGGACGCGTGTGTTTGACATCGCGTGCCTATGATGCAGTAACGAAATGAATTAGGGTATCATCAAGTCCAGTCTATCCTCAGCCCATCCCGCCAAAAGCCGTCTGAGAATCCAAACATGATGCCCTGTAATGCTGTCTGCTTCTCCTAACGAGCTGCGCCTCCCTAAAATAGGCTTATTCTATGATCCAAACAATTCCGCGCCGGGCCACAATCGTACAAAACATCTTCTCTCATAACAGCGTCAAGATACCCCAATTAAACCATCTCGCATCATCATCTAAGCCCGAATGCTCCCTTTTCAACAATGAATCGGACGGGGTGTCTTGCTCTTCTCCGGAAGCTCAGCGGCCTTGCCCCACGTCCACCGCGGTTCGTAGCAGCCGGTGTCGGGCTAGGCAGTGGCAAAGGCACCTGTCCCGGTGACAGGCCATTACCACCGCGCTCATCGAATCCCCACCGCATAACACCTCCGCTTCGGATCCAATTCTCCAAATTTCGACACTGACTAACGTCCACCCATTGTAGTCGACTGCATCCTTCAAGCAGATTCTCGACACCGCCGCCAGTGACTCTAACGCAGCCGCGGACCGAGATGCCCTCCAACTCGTTCAGGTGTAGTGCAACCGACTGCAAGCTGGCATCCGAGACGGCACTGCCGCAGAACGAGAGGCGAAGTTCGCGCAGCTGAGGCAATCCCAAGGCGACGACTTCCGTGGCGGTATCAGAAAGAGCGCAGCAAAAGGAAAGATCCAGGTGTGTCAGGTTCTTGGCCGCACCGACGAGGGCGACGACCGCGTTGTCAGAGAGGTAAGTGCAGTCCGCGAGGCACAGATGAGACAGGTTCAGGAACCGGTACGGAGCCCAAGACTGGAAGCCGGCGTCTGTGATTGAGGTGCATCGTGTCAGGGACAACGATTCCAACCGATTGGACGCATGCGCAGCAAGATGAGCCATCGACCTGTCAGTGATGTGCTTGCAATACGACAAGTTGAGGTGCTTGAGGGCGGGGCAGCCAATGATGGTGCCCGGCTTGGGGATGTTAGCAGCTCTCTGTTGAGCCTGTTGCGTAACAGCCTTTTGAGGCTTTGACTTGGCAGAAGAACTGGATATCACCACCTGTTTGCTGGGCGGTTGGGGTGGTGGCGGCTCGGGTACTACCCAGCCTACGACACGTGCCAGCAAGTTGTCACCAACCTTGCGACAATTGCTCCAGTCAATCTCCTCCAGGCCCTTTGCGTTCTCTGCCATTTCCAGAATCTGATTTGCAGAGACATCCCACACGGATCGCATGCGCCATCGTTTGACATTGCGGCCACAGCTCTCCCAAAGACTTCGGAAACCGTCGTCGGTAATGTGGAAGCAGTTGCTAATGTCAATCGTCTCCGGGCGGTTACCAACGAAAGGACCAATGACTGTTCGGATGGCCAGATCTGTGACTCTTCTATTATGCTCAGACAAGTCCAAATCCATGCAAACCTTCGGGTGCGTCGTCAACAGCTTCCGCCAATGAGACGAAATGATTCGCGCGTTCATCAGCTCTGCAACATTGAGGTATCGGAATGCTTCCACGAGCAAATCGTCGGGAAGAGCTGGGGCCTGGGCCGGGTGTGGACGCCGTGGCAGTGTCCGGGCTCGCTTGACGGGCGCTTCTTGCTCGGTTGGCGACTGTGGTGGAAAAGAGAAGCGAAGAGGTGTCGACTCAATCTGGTGAGTTCGGAAGCCGTTCGTCACTATTGACGAGGAGTTGTCGGATTGCGGGGTAGGCGGGGCAAGGGAATTGCGTCGCCTATTTCGCATATTCTCCATGTCCACGCTCAAGAAAGGATCAGGGTCCTTGGGCTCCATCGTTTCCATATCGTCCTTTGTAGGTGACGTCGGTTTTGAGGGCGTTGTGAACGTGACGTGCGGTAGAGCTTTGGGTGTTGTCGGTGTCGGAGGATCTGATTTGCTGGTCCTTTCCATAGGGTCTGCATCTGACATTTCAACGTCTTCGTCGGAATTCTTGTATCTCTTGCGAGCTGTCTCCTCAACCTGCGACTTGATATCAGGTGGGCATCGGCTCCAAAGCGTGTCTAATGCGTCTCCGGGGATCATCAAGCACTCGACCGTTGTAATTGCCCGCACTGTCGCTGTTCGACCCTCGGACAACCCAAGACTGGCCACTTCTCCAAAGTATTGACCTGCTTTTAATCTTGGCCTGAGATAGGTCGCACGAGCTATCTTCTTTGGTGGTTCACTTGGTGCTTCATGAACAACCTCTGCTTCACCTCGAACAATGAAGAAGATCTCGTTGCCGGCCGATCCTTGTTGGATGATGTCTGTAAATGGAGGATATGTCTTTGGCTGGACGCTGAGTCCCAGCTGATGGAGGATGTCAGGAGGTAATGTGGAGAACAAAGGCAGTTCTCGTAATGTTCGTCGCACGTTGACGAAACCACTTCCTAGGGCACTGCCTGCTGCAGGGTCTTCGATGGCGCCAGGACTAGGAGATTTCCGCTTCTTGGAGTTGACGACGGTGCCCTCTCTGATGGTGCCTACCTCACCCGTAGACACCTCACCTGGCACCGGTTCTCTTGCTCCGTTGGCTTGCGTCGAGGCAGGCTTGATGAGTTGCCCGCCCTCTTGGCGCTTCTTCTTGAGAATATTTAACCGCTCTTGAGCTTCGTGACGAATAGCGCGTTCCATATCCGGGAATTTCGGTAATTCGGCCTGGAGGTCTTCCTTCTTAAGGACCACGAGAAGGCATTTTGTCCGAGCCACAATGGTCGCAGTTCGCGGTACGTCCATCAATACACCGATTTCTCCGAAAAAGGCACCGGGCTTGAGTTCTGCATAGATGGCTTCACCGTCTCTAGAGGTGACAGCCACGACTCCGCGCACCAGCCAGTACATTGCTCTGGCATCATCGCCCTCTGTGAGAATGTGGTCCTGTGCAGCATGAACTTGTGGTCTCAAATGGTTTCCGATAGCGGCCAAGAACTCGTCTGGCGCAGAGACAAACAGGGGAAATGATCTGATGCGATCAACCAAGTCGAGCGGCATATCGCGGATGGTGGAAGCGGTGAGTGGGGATGGCCGCATAGGGCGGGTAGGGTTCGTATCAACGTTGAAGGACCTGAGGAGTGAGAGGGAATCTGGCACCCCGCCCGCGCCCGCGCCGGCATGGGCGAGGGCGCGGTAGGGTGAAGGTGATGTTGGGGAGCGATTCCGCCTCATGGTCCTTGACGGATGCCGCGTACGTGGTCGTGTCGACGCCAGGTTTTCGACGTGCCTTGCCGGCTAAGCTCTCCGCCCAGTGGGAGGGCAGAGGGCCAAAGCTTCAACAGGGCTTCGCCAGTGCACACCCGGTCTGTAGCCTGTGCTCCGCAAGGGCGGCTGGAGGAGGAGAGTCCTCTCCCTGCCTGTGAGCTGAAGCTTCCTCCGATGCTAGATTCCAGCGGTTTCCGTCGGTAGTGTAGACAGCAGACAAGGCTGGTGCATGCTCCGGAGAGGCCGTTTGAAGTGCAGCGTATTGGGTTCGCCGGGGGGAGATGCCAATCGTAAAGGGGTTTGATAATTAGAGACACTCTGATGATTGAGGACCTGTTGTTTGTTTCGCGCTATTTGAGATCGAATATTGCAAATTTCTTCTCAGCGATTCGGGAGTGAGAGGCGGTCGCGTTTGGTTTGAAGGCGGGGTCTTCGGAGCAGCTTTGAGAGTGGGAGGGTCGGGTTGGTCGACAATGCTGAGTGTCGCAGATCGTATCACGCAACGTCGCCGTTGAAAACGGTGTCTCTAGTCGCTTTCGACACGACAATTTGCCGGCAGGATAGAATGATTGATGATAAATGCGGTGACACCAAGTGTCTGCGCAAAGACAGCAACGGAAAGTTGTCGTGTGCTCGGCACCAGATGCTGTAGAAGCTGAGTTGGGGTGACAGTTCTGCTGTGGAAGTCAGGTCAGAGAGAAACACACACGGTCACTTTTTTGCCGCTGGTGATTTGGTAACGGTCAGTAGGCCGGGGAGTACTCACCAAATCTTCGACGGTGTAGGCAAATACAATTGTTGCTGTGTGGAATTGCTCTCGATGCGAAATAAACAGCTCTGTACGCGGGGTTCGGCCGGTTCCAAGGAGCGGATAGGCGAAGGCGAGATGAGTTGCGAGGATGGTGGGAAACGAAGGTGCCGGGGGTGGGTTGTTGGAGGCGGCGGGATCGGAGGCGAGAGGGTGATGTAGGCGAGTGAAGAAGGCGGATGATTCGCAGTCGCAATATTGCAGATCAGTTGAGCCAACAAACGGGCACGGGAATAGGCGATTGGAGGTTGCAATGCGAAGATCTCCAGCAGAAGAGGAAGATAGGAAGACGACTGCTGCAGGAATGGGTAAGCGGGTGGGAGGGGGACTGGGAGGAAGAGAAACGGTGACGGACGAAAAGAGAAGCGGTCGTGGGTTTGGGAAGGGAAGGGAAGGACCGAACTGGGGGGCGACGGGATGGGTGCGAGGATTCCAGGAAGGGACGTGAGCGTGGGCGTAGATGTCGGTACGTAAGGAAGGAGGTACCTTGCCCCTTGGTGTATTTTGGTGCCTTCCATTTGGTACGGAAGACATCATACAGCAGCTAGTAAGGTGAGGTAGGCAGGTACCTTTTTTTTTGGTGGAGGCGGCATGGGCGGGTGTGGGCGTGAACGTCGCACTGAAGTGGGCGGGTGGGCGTGCCCTGGGTGCCCTGGGCGTGGGCGTGGGCGTCCATGGCACGGCGCGAGGACGTACTGTGGAAACGTGGGACGTGGGGAAGGAACAAGAGTCGTTCTAACTGCTGCTTCTTTCCTTCCTTGCCGTTTCCTTCCTTCCGACTGCATTGGTACTCTGTACGAAGTGCCCAAGGACCCAGGGCACCTTCCTCGGCTGTTCACTTTATCTTTTGGCAAGATTACTTAAGGCAAAGTATTCTCTACCTTGAGGTACTATGTAAAGTGGTATTACACTAAGGTACCTTACTTCCAGGGACATGACTAAGGTAAGGTAGGTTAAGATATGCGGCCTGGAAGACGGGGAGGTGGAAGGGCGAGGATGGATGATGCTGCGTTGCATCCCCTACGTTTCTCGGAACCTGAGCGTGAGTGCCATACCCAACCTTCGTCGACCAACGCCCAGTAGTCAGCGACTGTACGGTGGACATGTGCAGATGCGGGAGCTGGTGCAGATGCGCCACAAGGATACAGCAGTAGGGAGGGGACACACTCACCTGCACACACTAGAGAGAGTTCCGGAAGGTCAAACACGGACAGGACAGCCAGACGAGACGGGCTAAACACCTTCGTCTCTTCACTTCACAAGCACAACTCTTCCACCAGGGAGCCCACGTCTTTGACCCCCCCCCCCCCCCTTCCCCTACCACCATACTCGATATGTGGGAGCCAACAATACACATGTCTTCGAATACCAATGCTGGCCATTGGAATATCTTTTCACCCCAAGCAGACTGGAAGACAACTCATCTTACCTATCAAGCACAGTTATGACAACTCTAAGCGTCACCTCTACCACCGCTCTCTTCAGAGCTTTTGCCTATCGCCAACGCTGCACCCAGCCAGCCCTCGCACAATGACGCTCGGAGGGTGGGGTAGGGGCCGTGAAGCTTGTACTCATCAGGTACCGATCTACTGCACACGGACCCTTGAGGCAGTCTGTTCAGGGGTACGCAGCATGTCACTGGCAGGGTGACGAGACATGAACGTAACCTGACCCCAAAGCTTAAACAGCCTGGCGCCCAAGGGCCAGTAGACGGTAGTCGTGTGGCCGCGGCGACCGCGGCAGGCTTGAGGCGAGGAAGTAGGTACCTATTTGTGTCCATTCGATCATCTGGACGATCATGATTGCTGTCACGGCGAGGGCATTGGAAGAGTTCAACGACAGACTAATCATAAACTCATCAAACACGGCTCTGTCGTCAGAATGTCAGCGGGAAAACACTCGCACAAGCAACGGGAGCTTACTGTGCCTGAGCATGCCCCGAGCCTCTTGTGTTCCCTGCACTGGGCACAGCCAAGCTGTTTGTGGTGTCGAAATACAGACGTAGTCATGACAATATCTTTGCGTAAGGTACCATACTTTACGGTTTCTCTAGGCGCACTGTAAAGACCTGGGTACCTCGCCAGTGGAGGAGAGCCAAAGCTAAAAGTAAAGGGGGAGGAGACTGGGTGTGCGACAGACAAACTGCAGCTTTCGCGACCTTCGTCTACGGCGCCCTGTCTTGCCCTGAGCAGAGGAAACAAACAGCCAGAAGACAGAGACATGCGGTATGCTCCGTCGTGACTCTGATCTGCCAGCACACCATTTGCCTGACAAGGTGCTAGGTTGTTTGATGATGTCAGCAAAGGGCAGACAATTAAGAGACAGTAGGAGAAAGACTGACTGGTGTTAATCACTCGTCCACCAAAACTTGAGCCACATTTACCAAACGATACTCGAGTATAGCGAGGCCAAGAATAAAGAGGATTCTCGCTGGAATTGCTGCAAGCAACCAGGTATAAGCCGGCAGACAACGTCAGTATCGGCTGCTGCGAAAGCGAGACATGAAGCTACCTGGCTAGGGCTGGCTCCAATGGCGATGGCAACATATTACTACCTACCTGAATCTGCGCACTGCTCCGGTCACCAGTGTGACATTGAGGCATCGGAATAGAGTAGGTAGTGTAGCGCGAACAACGGACGCACGCACCTTGCTTAGCCCCCTTGGGCACAAATCCAGGGCAGCCGCTCAATGGTCTGGGTTTCTTCCGAAAGGGGCGTCGCTAGATCGGCCAGAGGAGAATAGCCAAAGGAAAAATCAAAATTGACAGAAATCAAACGGCCTGCCGCCGGGCCGGCCTTGCGATTTCTTTGTTCTATCAGGCTTCTGGCGTCGTTTCCATGCCGGCTTCCATCCTCGGCCGGCCTCGCTTCTCCCTCTCTTGCATTTGCCTCTTCTTTGCCTCTGCCTCTGCCTCTGCCACACCCACTCTGGCACTTTCCCCCTCGGGCTAGCGGCAGTCGTATGTATCACCTTCAACTTCCTGTCCACAGGTTCGTCTGCGTCCCATCGTGCCCTGCTCGTGCTTTGGAACTCGATTTTTCAAGCTTTCAATCTGATGCGAGGCGGTCGGAGAGACATTCTAGAAGCTCACACGGACACGGGAGCCCGCCCCCTCGGTTTGTCAAAGCATGTCGCATCCTTGCTCCAGAAGCCTGAAGGTAAATCCAAGAAACAGACAAGCAGCATGCGCGCTACTGTCGAGTCGAGACAAGAGGCTAATGACTCTTTCCCACCTTGCACTGCTAATGGAATTGAACTCGCGGATCGGAGATCGAGACAAGAGTGACCGTAGGACGAGGACGGCAAAAGCTGCGAAGACGACGGCGTGACCAGTGGGTGCGTGTAAATGGAGCGAGTCCGGATGGAGTGCCATGGACGGGGACTTTTGTCGCATAGTACAAGATAGAACAGTTGAAGGTGAGGCGCGTGCAGGCCGCAGCAGCAAGGAGCGAAAACGACCGAAGAGGCAGACGGCCGCCGTTCGTTTCGCAGCAGGTCCATTCCTCCACTTCCAGCAGACTCTGGGAGTCTTGGACACACTTGATCTCGTCGCTATCCCAAAGTCGGTTCAGCCTAGTACAGAAAGACGAGTGTGGGTGGACCGCCATCTCACCGCGTGTCTCAAACTTGCAGCCCGGGACCCCTGGCTCATCGGACCCGAAATGGCACGCACGGTGCACGAAACGGTCTTGGGAGGGGTAGCAGTCCACAGCGGCTGGGTGAGAGGATGCACCCGGTCAACCATGTCGGCGGCGGGTGACGGCGAAGAAGCTTGGGGAATGGTGGTCAAGGCGCCTCTCAGCGAAGGGAGATCGATGCGTGGAAGCCTTATGGAAGACGGCTAGAAGCCTGCCAAGGTTGGGTTGGTGGAGGGCGATGAACGGGGGGATTTCGCGCCGCGTGCCAGACGTGAAGTCTGACTCGGCCATTCGTGGTATGCTTATGGTGCCCGCCCAGCATCTCTAAGCTGCGAGAGTTTGTCGAACGGTCCAGCATTGGTGTGAAAGCAGGGACCGAGATGGATTCCCGGACTGGCTGAAAATTGTCATGAAGGTTGAATAATCTGGGTGGTCGTTGAAAGGTTGTTGGAGGAGCCTGAGATCTGAGGTGGTAGACAGGAGGTGCCTGAGGGCATTTAGATGGTCGCCTCACTGTTTCACACGTTGGTGACTAAGCCGCTTCCCTGAGCTGGAAAGTAGCAAGAAAGTGCCTTCCTCGACAACCTCTGCGCTTTCTTGGATTGCTGTTGGTTTGAATCTGGAAGGAAGGCACGCAGGTACGAGGTAGCTTAGGGAAAGTACGGAGCACCATCGCATTCTGCCTCTCTTTCTTCGCGGAGTGGATCCTCCTTCCTTTGTTTTTCTAAGGTACCTATCCCCGCCGGATCTGCACCTGCTGTGGGAGATCCATGGAATTATCTACACATGCAAGATTGATGGGTCCATTTCTCTTGCCGTCATTCCTTTCTTTTTCCAACCAAGTTTGCCCTTCTTCTCCATCAACGTCTCCACGCTTTGCCCGTTGCTCTCCCCCTGGATACTAGGCAGATGTACGTAGCATTCTTCTTTACAAACAAGACTATTTCCAACCCCATCAACCAGGGCCATCGATGGACATCCAACCTCGACTCTACCGTCCGGTCTCCATCTCAGTCACCTTGTTCTACCATCTTGCCGGTGTTTCACCGCATGGTTGCTTCGGTGTCCGATGCAAGAAGACATTCCCAAAGCTTTTATTCGTCCCGAAGTCTACAACCTCTTTTTCGGCTCAACTTTCGGCGCACACCAACCACGCGGCGTCAAGGGCCACGCAACAAAGAAGTGGACGAACCTGGCCCGCGAGTAATTCGCCTCGTGCTGCTCTCCCACCACCCTCGTCGGCTCTTTTCCCGATCTCCAGTCCCGCTGACCTATAGTGAGCCACTGCTTAGACTTTTGTACCCTGAAACGCGCTGTTCTCTATGCTCCAGGGCCATGGGACTAGGACTATGTGATTAAAGACCATCAACGACCATCTACATGTTGACAGGTATGGCCACAAGCTACATGTCAAGGCGCGCCTGAACGTCCGGTTAACTTTTCGCGACTGACATGACTGGCTGCACTCTTCGGTCACTAGTTAGGGTCCGCAGTCCGATGAGCCGCAGACTATCGCAGATGCTACGCACGCGTGGCCCAGCCTTTGCAACCCTCCACGCCTTGACAAACCCGATATCTTGCATACCACGTGTTTCCAGCTGTCAGCTATTGCTCAATCATGTCGCACGGTGTTCAGGGCATACCCCCTAGAATTGTTCTTTGTCGAAATGGCCAGGGTCGCGCTGCTCTACTCCCATCGTATCGCTCTTGTTTCCTATAACGTGCCATGTACTATTATTAGCTGACTTTCTAATGGTTTAGGGACTTCTGGGGACGGGAATTTGGCTCTAGAGGAAGACCAGCTTCACAATTTCGTTACGCTTCAAGGTCATCTAGTACCCAATTCTACAACGAGCCAACAGAAGAAGCTTCGACTAAGGGCCAACAGTGGAGATAGTAGATGCATCGGTTCCTCACGTGCTTTTGCCCGCATCGAAAGCTTTCCACCGTCTCCGGACCGGTGCGGGTACATACTTCTCGCCTTCAAGATTCTACGATTCGTTCGACGGCCCCTGCTTCGTGGCCCGAGCCCATCACAACGGACACAAGGGCCTTTTCGGGCACCTCTGATCGTCTTGAAACACTACACGGCTCCGGCCTCCTTCTCGAACCACGCCCAAGGCCTAGAGTTTGGGTCTCTGGATGATCCCAGCCATTGGCTGACTGCAATTCTAGCTTCATTTGCTGCACCCTACTTCGGCCATCACGATAGCAAACTTTTGCAGACACAAAGATTTAAGTCTTGGAGCCTTCTGAGTACACTGTGGCTCCTCCGTTGCTGGCTGCCCAGGCAGTCAGGCTATATATGCTGTGTTTCTCACAGACGTAGCGGAAGGTTGTCAGCGAAGCCAAGCTCGAGGCGAATGCTATCTACTCCCTGCACAGCCATTTCATGAGATCTTACTTCGATTTGCTTGACGGTGTATCCATTACTGGCACAGGAGCCCAGGGGACTCGGTAATGAAGTGGTGCAAGAGCCAAAATGGTATTATTAATTAAAGTTATAGTGTGACAAGCTCGTTCTTATTTGCTCTTGCAGCAAACATAGAACATTGAATAGCCGCGGCATCGTGCCGGTCGGTACTGTTGGTCCAGCTTCGTCTAGAGAACACCTGGACCCTTCGGGCGGTCTTCTGCCGGCGATTCGGCCACGCAATTCCATGTCGGATTTGCTTGACTCCTCCATGCGATGCGCTTGAAGTTCATGAATAAGGGCAGTCTACTCTTCCGCATATGTGGTGTAGTCTCGGGCGCAGTATCCACGGCATACCCGCAGGCCGTGGTGCCTGCATAGACTCCTCTTCCGACGCCCGCAAGTTGTTGACGATGGTTGAAACAGCGATGGGTTCGACTGCGACTTCTCAAGCGAAGAGCTTATTATTGTAGACTTTTGTGTTCTACAGCTATGGCGGGCATCGGGGGTTTACTCGATTCGGCCCGAGGTATCGCCCGGCTTTGTGCGGCGGGGAGTTCGCTCCATTGGTTGCCCGTAGTTTAATCGAAGCCCTAAACCTTTCTTTGTAGGTCGAAGGGCCAGCCGGATTTGGCGTCTCGTATTCCCCGGATCTGGTTCTCAAGCGGGGGCATCTAGACGGATTCGCCCGGGCATGGAGCATTCGGCACCGGGGAAAATATGGGTCGCGATGCGGGATCCACCCCGATCTGGCAGCCGGACAAAGCGGGTCGCTTCTGCCTTCCGTGGACCGGGCGGGGCCCGAGACGAGTGGAAGCGTCACTGTCCCGATGCTCCCTTATTGGGGATGTCTTCTTGCGCTTCTCTTACAATCCGCACAAGCCTTGCGTGCAGTCGAGGCCTTCCGAAGTATTGCAGCAAATCGATCCGTTGGCGCAAAAGCATGCCCTTCCCAGGTTCGGATCCTCCTCTCCTTCCTTGTCGCCAAAGATCTGTTTCCAAGCGGAAGCGATGATGTTGGACGCCGGCAGTGTGCTGCTGCTGCTGCTGCTGCTGCTAGTTTCTGATGTAGCTGCTGACGGTGCTGCCGCGCCAGCCGCATCTGCGGGGACCTTTGAGACATGTGACGAGGATGCTAGGGGATGTTGTTCCGTATCTACTGGTGCGGCAAAAGCTGCTGAGGCAAGGATTGCGACAGAGAGGGCGGCGGAGAATCTCATCTTGGCGGTTGGTGGATGATGGAACAAGAAACCGAACAATGGATGGAGGAAAACGAAGGAAAATAATAAAATGAATGAATGAGTTTCGATTGGAAAGTCGGATTCTTTGCCAAGCTCTGACAAACTCGATCGTGAGGGAAGAACAGACGACAGAATTACACAATACTGCGGACCCTCAATCGTGCGAGTGTATGAGTCGGGGAAGCGGTCGTACTTTATAAGGCAAAAGTAGAATTCTGGCGCGGATTGAGGAAAATAGAGGCCGAGTCGAGGAGCCTCAGCGCAGACGCGACCGTTTGTTGGACTTTTTGAATCACGAGGCGGGTGGTGGTGTGAGACCGAAAGGTATTTAGGTCGGGATGCTAATTGTCGAGAGTGAAGAAAAGGACAAGCCACACCGAAGGGTGAAACGGGACGCCAAGTTTGGCGCGGGTTGGTTACACAAAGGATGAATGGGGAGGAGTTTGTACGGAGAAGTGAAGCGACGCAGGTGGCTTGGTGGAAAGAGGCTAGGTGCGGATAGGACGGGGCGCTTTTGTGGTAGCGAAGTCAAGAGAGACGGGTCATGAGAGGAGGGGAGGAATAGAGACTATTAAGTAACGAGAAAGAAATTCAGACTGCGATGGAGTGTACCCCTGACCGTCATGGACTCGTAGCATGGAGTTACCAAGGATTTCTGCGTAATGAGACTTGAAAGTATTGGATTGTTGGTTGGCTTGTCCGCAACACCGAATCAGGAAGTTGGCCGTTGTTTTTGGATATTAGCAACGAGGAATTCATGCTTGTTAGGTAGTACCCGGCGCGAAAGGACAATCAATGGAGATGGGGGGGCACTGGGGGCGACAGGGTCATAGGATCGTAGGGTCGCAGTATGGAGTAATACTAGAGAACGAAGACAAGGATCCGGGAGCTCTCAGCACGTTCAGCTTTCGTTGTGCGCGTGTTGGAAACCTCGGAGTTTGGGGGCGGGGCGGTTGGTGGATGGGACGCATGGGAGGAGCACGGAGCGGGCGGGGGATGTAGCAAACATCCGAAGCAGTGGTGAGTTTTCGACACTCAGCATCACACATCGTCATACGAGATCAAGGAGAGTGGGAGGGCTGAGGAAGAAAGAGAGAGAGAGAGAGAGAGAGAGACACGAGACGACACCTGGTACGAGCGGTGCGGTGCCGCAGGCCCGCCACGGGCAACGCTAATGCTTGCGATCGCGACCCCCCCAAGATTCATGCATGATTTTAACACGCATTTCTCTGCTCAGCTTGCTGCTCCTTTGAAGGGGGCGATGTACTCGGTATGCACCTAGCCGCCCGTGTTGGTTGTGTTTTCTTGCTTTCATTGTTCAGGAGCCGCTGGTGTTGGGGTCCTGGATCCGCTGTGCAGTTCAGTCTGCATATGCATCAGATCCTGGCAGAAAAGTAGAGCATTTTTTGGTGCTTTTGATTTATTTAAGGTACTTTTCAAGGTACTTTAGTCTTTTACTTTGGGCGGCGGTCCGCGTTTGGCTTTAGTCGAGTTAGAGCTGTCTGGGGCATGGTGCTTATTGTAGATCATCACATCAGCGGACGGCGCCTCGTTCCAGCCTTTCCAGGAACGCGCCTGTTTCTTATGATGTGCTAAATTTTTAGAAGTTGGTTCTTTTTTTCTCATTTCTCAAATCATCAATGGGACTTGTGTCGAATTTGAGTCAGGAGAAGGAAGATCTTTGGTCTCTGACAACTCTCGATTATTTGCTGCCCTTTGTGTGTCCTCTTGATGCGACGTAGTTACCTACAACGGAAAGAGTCGACGAGTTTTGCTGCCCATACTGGACGTCACAAATGGTTCATGTTTTTCCTCTTTGTCTCTGGCATCCCGGTTTCCAACAAGACAAGCAGTGTAGGTACCACCGACTGCCCCGTGTCCCCTAAACCCCGTCCCACTTCCCGTACCTGGGGCCGGTACGGGATTGAGGAACCGAGGGGGTGATCAGGTGTCTCAAATGTAGTTCAAGACGTGCAATGAGTCTGAATTGTTACGGTTCATCGGAGAAAACACAGAGTCGAGGGGAGTAAACAGGTCTGGGGCGGCCGTGCTTCGGGAGAGCTGCGGAGGTTTACCATGGTGATTCCGGTGTGGGCGGAACCATAGGAAGGGGAATCATGGACTGCGAAAGAAAGATTCTATACCCCGTACAATGAACTCTTTTAGAGCGATGAGAGGATGAAGATTCGTCGGTGTGATTAGTCAAAGATACATAGCAAACGTGTTCGAGGTACTCAATTGTCAGATTCAAGCCCCATGTACCTGCTGGACGAGGAAAGCCGAAAGCTTGAAAAGGAACCTCAGTGATGAATCAAATGGCCATGCCTTGCGCCATTCGGCACAATCCTGCCAGACATCGTGACTCGTCTGATATACTGAAGTAAGACAAGGCCCCGAAATGAGTCCGGACGCAAATGGAGGTCGCTGAAATAGCCAGAGTAGGCTTCGGACGATGAGTTCGCGGCGCGATTAGAGGTGACTGCTCCAAGTAGGTTTACCGTCTTAGTGAGGGGGAATTTGACGGCACTGCGGAATGTGGCTGGCCGTAGCTAGATTGTCTGGGCTTGGATTTCTGCCGGTTAACCGTTGGAGGTGTCGCCCTTCAACACCAGCCTTGTTGATGCTTTACCGTGGTACGGACAGTGAGTTTGGCTAATTCGAACGATGGGTGGCTTGGGGCGGTCTGTGTGCCTCTCGTGTCTCTCGCGATTAAGCCTGTATCCCAAGATCCTAAGACGGGAGAGACATGCGTCCATGTAACGGTGGTGATTCAGGTGGTGTTGAGAGATTGGCCAGGCATGGCGGGGTAAAAGGAGGCTACTGCACGGTAGATGGAAGCTATATTGTTAGCTTTCTTGGGGCTCTCATAGTGGCAGTGAGCGGTAAGGAACTTGGTTGCATTCTTTCGTTTCGTTCACTTAGGCACAGGTGATACCGAGGGAAGGGCATGCGAGAGAGGATGAGTGTTTCTCAATGCTTTCATGGTGAGATGACGAGAACTCAGTCACCTCTTAAGTATTGTCGCGCTATAGCAGCTTGCTTTGCTTCAGCGGCGATGCAACTCGAGAGATTGGGGAATACGGAGGTTTATTGACAGCAGCAGAAGCAGAGTTCCCGACCAAGTACCTGACTTTGTGTGACAGCGGCTACACCCTCCTGTCTCATTCCCAAGTTGCTAATTCTGGATGCCAAGGAGGCATGCGACCAACGGCAGCGGTTCAGGCCGGTGGACGGCAGACAGGAGGGGAGCTTCATTCCAGCAGCTGCATCGGAGGAGAAGCCGAGGGGAAAAGGAAGGGCTCCCGCTGCCACCTGGTGGGACCTGGAAGTCACTTGGTAGCAGCTGGTCACCAAACTCCAATGTCCGCCCGGGTGGATCGGGGTTAAGGCGGAGGGCAGCGCAGAGAAGGTACGGGAATTTCCACCAGCTTCTCTCGCAGCCACTCACATGACCGCAAAAAAAGTTAGCTAAGCAGCTGCCTCAGCCAAACCCACCCGGGGGAAAGCACCTCAGGCAAATTCCGGCCCCGAGAGTCCGCCAGAGTCGGGAACGTCATTCGTCATTGCCTCCTGCGAAACTCCTCCACGCAGGCCTTTAAACATCGTCAACCACCACCACGTCCCCTTTGTTTTCTCTTTCGCATCACAAATTCACCCACATCACATTCGCACACGAATCGACACGACAACGATGTCATTCAGCATCACACTCCGCCAAGGGCCTGCGCGCCTGGCGCAGCGTCTCCCGCAACTATCTCAACCCTTCCGCACAACCGCCACCAGAGCCTTCCACCAGGCCTCGTCAAAGTCAAGACCGACCGCCTCCGTCGCGACCGCCGCCCGCAATGCCCTCCTCCGCGGCTCCTCGAGAACCTACATGCAGCAGGCCGCACCTGGCGTCCAGGGCCAGGCGAGCCCCCTCCGCAAGCTGTTGGTCGGCGGCGCCATCTTTGGCGGTACTCTCGTCGCTATCAACGTCGTCTTCAACCGCGAGACCCGCGATGATGGCGGCATGCCCGTTTACGAGCGCGAGTACCTCAACGACACTTTCCTTCACACCGGCTTGGGCGTCGGTATTATTGCCCTCAGCGCGCGCCAGATGATCCAGTCTGGTTTCGTCTACAGGTTGATGGTGACGAACCCTTGGGTCGTTGGTATCGGTGGTCTTGCTCTCAGCTTCGGTACCATGTACGGTACCCGTGCCATTTCTCCTGACAAGTAAGCCAAGAATCATCTCCCGAGAATCCGAGAAGCAAACTAACGCATCACCAGCTACATCCCCAAGTACGCCATGTGGGCCGCCTTCAACGCAACCCAGGCCGCCATGATCGCCCCCCTCCTGACAATGGTCCCCGGCGCCCTCCTCGCCCGCGCAGGTCTCTACACCGTCGCCATGATGGGCTCCCTCTCCATCGTCGGTGCCACCGCCAAGCAGGACAAGTACCTCTACATCGGTGGTCCCCTCCTCGCCGGCCTCGGCGTCGTCGTTGCCTCCAGCTTCGCGCCCATGCTGCTGCCGGTCACCGCCGTCCGCACCCTCGCCCTGACCGAGAGCATCTCGCTGTACGGCGGTCTCGCCGTCTTTGGCGGCTTCACCCTCTACGACGTCCAGAAGATCCTGCACCACGCTCGTCTTGCTGAGCGCGGCATCATTCGCAAGGATGCTGTCAACGAGAGCATTGCGCTTGAGCTTGACTTTATCAACATCTTTGTCCGTATGGTGCAGATTCTGATGATGCAGCAGAACCGCAGGAAGTAAAGATGAGTTGGACTTGAAGTGTAGCAGCGATGGAGGATAGGATAATGGGATCCCGCCAGTGGGATGGTGTATATACCCCACGGCGGGCGGAAAACAGAGGCTCGAGAACCCCTCTCATGATACGACTCCAAAGAGACCTACGGGTTCGGAATTGGTTTTTCTATGTTGTACAATACCAGAATAAATAAAAATTCTAAATTCGGTCAACTTAATGTCCACCACACCTGCACCCTGATATGTTGTGTCTCAATATACCCGTACAAAGTAGCATGTCACAGTCTCAGCATCTTGACTCAGTTAGATAGTGCAACAGCTACTTGCCCCCTCAAACTCTGGCTATGTATGCAACTACTGTTCCATGATGAAGCCAGAAGTCACAAAATGCACACACTCATGATGGTACACAGTTTTAAAATCAAAGCGGTTGAGCGCTATTCATTGCCTCGGAGCCTCTACGTGCGTAATAGAGAAAGCCACCCGATACATCCCATCCGTCATTATGATTCCCTCAAGTTGAAAAGGAAACCCCATATCGTTACATCCTACTCGTCCTCTTCGCCCTCTCATCACCCCTTCCATCCTTCTTTACTTCCCCGCCGCCGTCAAGGAGTCATCCCTCAAGCGGGGGAAACGTCCTCAAAAAGTGACTGGGGCACTCATACCCGCCTGGGTTGTTGTCCAAATACAGCTGGTGATACGCCTCCGCATCCCACCACTGTCCCGCCGGCGCAACCTGCGTCTTGATAGCCCCCTTATACCACTGCTCATTCGCCAACCGCGTAACCTCCTTCGCAACCTTCTCCTGCTCCTCATCGTGGTAGAAAATCGCGCTCCGGTACTGCGGACCCGTGTCGGGACCCTGGCGGTTCGCCGTCGTGGGATCGTGCATCTTGTAGAAGAACTCGAGGAGCTGGCGGTAGCTCACTTCTTCGGGCTTGAAGACGACCTGCAGGGCCTCGGCGTGGCCCGTGTCGCCGCCGCAGACGGCGCGGTAGGTCGGGTTGGAGAGGTCGCCGCCGATGTAGCCTACGCGGGCGTCGATGAGGCCCTTGGAGGCGAAGTGTTTGCGGTAGAGGTGTTCCACGCCCCAGAAGCAGCCTGCTGCGATGGTGGCTTTTTGGGCGCCTTCCGGGAGGGAGACGGGGGCGGGGGGCGTGATTGACATGCTTGTTGTTGTTGTGAAGGGGCGGGTTAGGCGGGTTAGGAGGGAGGAGATCATTGTTTGGTGGATGTGTGGGAGGGAGGTTGTTAAGAGGAAGAGGACGATGGGGATTGTGAGGGCGAGGGTGAGGAGGGGCAGCTGCTGGAGCTTGTGGTGGGGTTTGCGTTTGGGAGCAATCGTGATTTTTGGGCGGTATTGCGAGGGGTGGTTTCTGGTTTGTGGTGCGCTGGTTGTAATGGGAAGGTGATTAGACGGGTGTTTCGGACGTCTTTTATGCGATCATTGGAGTGATGATTCCAAAGATTGATTACACGATCAAGATACAATGTTACAAAAGGAAGGAGCTACGAAATGATTTGGATTCAATTGCGATTATGTATATAAAGTTGGTTACACTGCCACCTGCGTCAGCCAGATTCCAAACCATTGGATCCCGTTGTCGCCACGCCTGCGCTGGAGCTCCCGGGGGGGTTCTGGGACTGCTCACCTAAGGAAGGGTCGGCAAAAAAAAAAGAAAAAAAAAATGTCAGAGTCACCACTTGGCCAGGGACCAGAGGCGGTGGCTCGGGGCGGAAAACGTGGAGTGCATGACAAATCGGGGGCGGCCGGCTCGGAGATCCTTTTCCAACGTGGACCCACTTCTCTCTGCGCCGGGTCACGGGGTTTTGGGAACCGTCCTTTTACCTATTAGGTAAGGTCACTTAGGTAAGCTTCCCAATCCGAGGAGCTTCGGTGTCCGGGGGAGCTGCAGCCCTGCAGATGGGAACTGCCCTGGCAACTGTGAAGCTCTGTGCCCCGCCTTGGAGATCCACCTTCAAGACAGTAGCAATTCCACAAGGTTGAGACTGTGACACTGCGGTTCCGCCTTTCCGCGTGTGCTGGTGCTTGGCTTGGGAATCCTTCTCGCCGGGCGTAGGGATCGTTACATGATTTCCGGCTTCGTTGGAGACTTTGGAGTAAAGCGTGAGGAGCTTTCTCGGTCTCCTTTGACCCCGCGTTGTGAGCTGTTGCTGCGGGGTCTTGCTCGTTCGTAGTTGGGGTCAGAGGTTTCGTTCTTGTTCATAAGGGAGGGGAGCACACTTTGAATTGAGCTTCAATTGTATCGTTTACCATTGTGTCTAAACCATAGTTTCATCGTATCTCAACCAGAAATATTTGAGCATATATCCACCCTCAGTAGATATGAGCGGACTAGCAGGAGCAACCAGAGCTGCGGCTCAAGCTAGGTCCGTCACCTTCTCACACACAATGATACCTTACATCCCCGGATACACTCACCCGTGTACATGATTCGTCAATGGGCCCAACAAGACAAGCCAATACCGTGACTGACATCCATTGACAGCCGCGTCGCCATCGTGACTGGCTCCTCACGAGGAATAGGCCGTGCCATCGCCCTCCGCATCGCACGCGACGGCTATGACGTCTGCATAAACGACATCGCCGCCAACGAGGCCGGCTCTCACGACGTCGCCGAGCAGATCCGCGACCTCGGGCGCCGGGCTGTTGTTGCGACCGCCGACGTGAGGAAGCTGAGTGAGGTGCAAGCCATGATTGACAAGACTGTTGGGGAGCTGGGTCCGTTGAATACCATGTAAGTCGCCTTTTTGTCTACTTATCGAGTTCGTTCATTTGAGATGCTTGCTGCTTTTGTGAGATGAGAGAGTGATGGATGCTGACAACGGGAAGGATCGCAAATGCGGGCATTGCACAGGTCAAGCCACTCCTTGACCTCACCGAGGAAGAATTCGAGAACATGTTCCGCGTCAACGTATTCGGCGTGCAGAACTGTTACCAGGCTGCCGCGAAACAATTGATCAAGCAGGGCAACTGCAAGCCCGAAAGCCCCGGAAAGATCATCGGTGTAAGCCCTCTATCCCTTCACCATTGATCCCCCCTCAGACATAATCACAGATGAAACTGACATGTCGCCCTAGTGCTCCTCCATAGTAGGCTTCAAACCCTTCGCCCTCCTCTCGCACTACTCAGCCTCCAAATGGGCCGTCCGCGGCCTCACCCAGGCCTCGGCCATGGAATACGCAGAGCACAACATCACCGTCAACGCCTACGCGCCCGGCATCGTCGGCACGGCCATGTGGGACCTGATTGACGAGAAGCTGGGCGAGAAGACGGGCGCGAAGAAGGGGGACACCATCAAGAAGTACACGAATGAGCTGATTGCGCAGAAGCGGACGAGCGTGCCGGAGGATGTGGCGAAGCTGGTGAGCTTTTTGGCGGGGCCGGATAGTGATCATGTTACGGGGCAGACGCAGATTGTTGATGGCGGGATTATTTACACTTGATTTAGTGGCCGTGTGACTACTGCGTGTAGGGATTATGGAATGTTATTCTTTGTTCAGGTGGTCGAACGATGTGTGAGATGGTGGTTGTCTCGGTGTTCGGGTGATCAGGCCATCGTAAGCTAAGCTGTGTTGTTGGCTTCGGGTGAATGAGGGCCGGGTGAAGGAGCTTCCCCTGGCTGCTTTACCTGCGCACTGTGAAGTTGTCCCGCTTTGGAGACGCCAGACGTAAGAGCTCTTATCGAGGCTGAAGGCGTGTTATCGATAATGAGTGGGATGATTGAATCCTTGAGCAAGGCTTAATGCTTGTAAGACATCAGCAATGACGAAGAGTGGAAGGTGGCGGAAGTGGGAGGAGGGCCTGGCCGAGGCTTGTCAGTTGACGGCAAGCTCCATCACTGATGGAGTGCTTCTTATGTAGACACTGTTACTTCGATGAGGGTAGGGCTGAGATGCGCATCATGAGATGGTATTATCCGGAGGGGATGAGAGTGATGTGAGGGTGTAAAGACTTAATGATTCGCACGCCTGCAGGTCTCTTCTCAATGGGTAGCTCTATGTGAGGCGGAACAAGAGGAATACCTGCCAAGCCAACCATTGGCAGACACCAAGGCAAATCACTGGAGATGGTTTACACTACCAATGGGAACCTAGACTTATTCGAGTGATCCCGGTGTCTTATTTGTGATACTGAAAGGCTACTTGATCTCTGATCCGAAGACTGTATCCAGCGAGGAAGATTCACTATCGATGGGAGGGCTTACGTCACTGATTGCATGTCATAGAAAGCGCATGTTTATGGGCAAGGGTTTCATTTCAATTGATGTATGGAGCAGTAGTAAGAATACGTCAAGCCACTTTATGGCTGACAGTGATACGCCTAGTCATTTTATGACTGGTCATCAATAAGTCTAGACATCTTGTGTCTGACATCAATCCAAGGCTATGCGATGCTCCCGTAATCCAAAACAAAACAAACCATGCAAACGCCAATAGCACCCAGAAGTTATCATAGTGGTGATCTCCAAACAGTGAAATGAAACCTAACCCTCATTCAACCCCATTCTGATGTGCAGGCACAAGCTGCTACCCATCAGACCTCGCCCATTCGTCCTCCTCTAGGCATCATAGAGAGCCTGCCCTGCATAGATGCTATTGTGGGCATCAGTCATGTGCTTGTAGCAGTCGCCAGAGTTGTCGAACACCGCCATGCAGTGCCAGCAGACGTGGGCACCGCACTTGCACTCCAGGTGATTACACCCTTCGTAGCGGTCGACAGGCGTCTTGCACTTGGGGCACGGCTTGATGTTGAGACCCTTGAAGAGCTCAGCGTTGACGTGGTCCTCCGCCTTGTCACACGTGACGTTGTCGTCGTGTGGCATGTGGCAAGATGTGCAGAGGATCTCAAGACAGCCAATGCAGCGCTGGATGGTGCCCTTGTTGTCTGCCGCCATGGGAGTGACCTTGTAGAGTTGCTCGCAGCGCGGAGTGGGACAGCAGTGGTAGGTGGCGGTGTTGGCTTGCAGGTAGGAGCTCAGAGAACACTCGATGAGCTTGTCCACGCCCTGGTAACCCAAGTGGGAGTCGAGCTCTGGGAGTGTGATGGGCTTGCCGCACTTGCCAGAGTCGCCGAAGCACTTGATGCCGTTCTCGCTGGAGGACTTTGCGGTTGATGAGACTGTGTGCTCGTAGCACCCAGCGCAGTAGATGTGGCCGCAGCTGGTCCGTACTGTTTGCTCTGGAGGGCAGAAGCAAATGGCACACTCGCGGTTGGTGCAGTCTCTCATCCGTCCTTCCGCAAGGTTGTAGGAATCCCAGTTATCCCCGTAAGAGTCCATGTATTCGCGCATGACCAAGTCCATAAGCTCTCTCTTGAAGAGGATGGATTCCTTGAACGCGGAGATGAATTGGATGGATGCGACCTCTCTGTCGACAGTGTCGGACCATCCATCGGTGGGGTGGATGATTCTTGTCTTTTTCATGTGATCTAGCCACTTTGCTGGGAAGCAGTACTCCAGGTTGAAGCAGATGTCTGCAAACAACTGACTGATACCAGCAGACTTCTGGACCGTGTTGTTGAGCTCTTTGACTATCCGTCTCGCGTCGGATTCCTCGTCGCAGACAAGTCTGACGGAAGATTCGTCGCCGTGATCTCTGATCTGGTCCTCTACGATGATGGTACCGTGAGCAGAGAACAAGTCCTTGATGGCTTGGAGCTGAGCTGCTGGCGCGAGCTTGGCGTTGGAACCCCCAATGAAGGTGCAGCTGGGATAGAGCGACGCTGGGAGATCATGGGTGATGTCCGACTTGGTGGCCTTGAGAGGAAGTCTGGTGAGCTGAAGCTGTGGACCGCGCTGGCCGGTAAGGAACGTCGCCCGAACATAATTCCCGCAGACTCCAACTTCTCCGTCGTTGAAGCGGCGGACAACCTCGCGGCACTTGGAGGCGTCACTATACGTGAGCATGGCCGTTGCAGTGGGGTTGCGCCAGTGGAGTCTGACAATGTTGGCCAACATCACAGAGGAGTATGTGTGTTCGTGGAAGCTGGCGAGATAGGGGATGCTCCCGGAGAGAGTGGTGGGAGGAATGACGATATCCTGAACCTCCAGACCAGGGCCAAAGGTTACATCTGCGCCCAACATCTTCTTGACAAGCTGCTCTGACGCCATGATGGGAGAAACAGTTGACTGAGTGGAAGAAGACATTGTAAAAGGACGACTGAGGATGTAGTGTAGAAATGGAGGTAAGTAGGTACTC